AATTTAAATGTCAGTTTCTATTTGAAGAAAGCCTTTTCAGCTGGCACGGTGAGCAATCTAGGCAGCGTTTCTTTGGAAACTCTTTGCAGTCTCCATGGATACCCAGTCTGCGGGAAGCAAGGTGCATGATCTCTTCAGAGGCAGCACACGCGTGTGCACATAGCGAGCTGCTCTGCGTGGAAAAGAGCAACGCTGCTTTGCATCCAAATGCTGCTGCGTTATAACAGTTTTTAAAAGGAGGTAAATGATGGGAAACCAGCAGTGTGCTTATTATTGGAGATGCAGTTTGTAGGGAAACAGAACCACATCTATTAGTATTTTAGAGTGTATTCTCCTGGCACAAGAAAACTCCAGATAAGGTTCAAATATTTATGACCAGGAGATTTCCTGTGGCCCTTGAGTATTATTTGCGATGTTTTGCCTGCTATATTTTATTGTAAATTCACAGAGAGACTTTGGAACCCTCTACTTGTCACTTAATCATCTCAGTTTCCATTTACCTACCAAGTGAGGTCTCACACAGTCCCAAGCCTTCCTCACTGAGGTAATGTGTTTAAAAACAATGAAAATATAATGGTGCTATAAATAAAATATAAGAACAAAATTAAGGTCAATTTTTTAAAAAGCTGTTGAATTCACCAGCCAATGTCTACAAATATTTGAGCATTATCCCTTAAAAAATGTAGTTTTCGCCCTAACCGGTTTGGCTCAGTGGATAGAGCGTCGGCCTGAGGACTGAAGGGTCCCAGGTTCGATTCTGGTCAAGGGCACGTACCTTGGTTGCGGGCACATCCCCAGTAGGAGGTGGGCAGGAGGCAGCTGGTAGATGTTTCTCTTTCATCGATGTTTCTAACTCTCTATTGCTCTCCCTTCCTCTCTATAAAAAATCAATAAAATATATATATATATTTTAAAAATGTAGTTTTCACCTAGCTGGTGCAGCTCAGCATTTGAGCATCAACCCAGGAACCAAGAGGTCACCAGTTCAATTCCCGGGTTGCGGGCTCAATCCAAGTAGGGCGCATGCAGGAGGCAGCCAATCGCTGTTTCTCATTGATGTTTCTGTCTCTCTTTCTAAAAATAAAAAATATTTTTTAAAATGTATTTTTCTTGGGAGATACCTGCTACTTGCCTGGAATTGGTTTTCTGAATAACAAACCCTGTGATTATCATGTGGAGTAAATACTATTCTTGGCCTGAACTGTTGGTTCACAAACCGGCCGCCATACATAGAGAGCAAGAAGAGACCGAAGAAAGAGGCAGAACACTCCCAGTGGTTCTCAACCTTCTGGCCCTCTAAATACAGTTCCTCATGTTGTGACCCAACCATAAAATTATTTTCGTTGCTACTTCATAACTGTAACTTTGCTACTGTTATGAATCATAATGTAAATATCTGATATGCAGGATGGTTAGGCGACCCCTGTGAAAGGTCATTCAACCGCCAAAGGGGTCGCGACCCACAGGTTGAGAACCTCTGTGAGTCTACCAGCCGTGGGCAAACTACGGCCCGTGGGCCGGATCCGGCCAGTTTGAAATGAATAAAACTAAAAAAAAAAAAAAAAGACCGTACCCTTTTATGTAATGATGTTTACTTTGAATTTATATTAGTTCACACAAACACTCCATCCATGCTTTTGTTCTGGCCCTCTGGTCCAGTTTAAGAACCCTTTGTGGCCCTCGAGTCAAAAAGTTTGGCCACCCCTGGATAGGGGCAGGTTAACGTGCAAGGGAACTGGGATATGGGACTTGTCTGGGGTGGCCACAAGGTGAGTAAATCGCTGCACCTGCCAGCATTACTATTCTTGCCCTTTGGGGCCATTATTAAGTAAAATAAGGGTTACTTGAACACAAGCCCTGCATCTGACCATTCAGACAGCTACTAAGTGACTACTGGGTGGGGAGCATATACAATGTGCAGACACCAGACAAAGGACTGATTCTCGTCTCTGGCATGACGGAGAGGGATGGCTTGAGATTTCGTGATGCTGCTTAGAATGATGTGCAATTTAAAACTTGTGAATTGTTTATTTCTGGAATTTTTCATTTAATACTGTTGGACCGAGGTTGACTGAGGGTAACAGACTGCAGAAAGGGAAGCGGGGGATAAGGAAGACTACCGTACATTGTTTGTTGTGGTATCATTTTGTATAGACATGGTCCTGACCAGATGTCATTTTGATTTGTTACTCAAAGGCCACGTTCATTGTGGCAAATGCCTTAGCACTTGTGGAACACGACTACTGCCACTGCGTGTGAACTTGCACTTGCAAAGTGAGGGCGAAACAGGCAGCTCTTGAGTGAGCAGGCAATACAGCAATAAAACCTCTAGCCCAAGACTACCTACCTACCAGCAAATGTCTTGATTATTCTAATCATTGATGTGGCTTGTTCATGCACATCCTATGACGAAATAAAAGACAACTCATGTTATGGTCCTTATATCACTCCCAGATATTAGAGTGAATAATTTTTTAAAAGCTTTGCAATTAATAGAGGTGACAAGAATATAGCTTTTGCCAAAACCGGTTTGGCTCAGTGGATAGAGCGTCGGCCTGCGGACTGAGAGGTCCCAGGTTCGATTCCGGTCAAGGGCATGTAGCTGGGTTGCGGGCACATCCCCAGTGGGAGATGTGCAGGAGGCAGCTGATCGATGTTTCTCTCTCATCGATGTTTCTAACTCTCTATCTCTCTCCCTTCCTCTCTGTAAAAAATCAATAAAATATATTTAAAAAAAAAAAAAGAATATAGCTTTTACCAAACTGATGAAATGAAGAATGATTTAAATAGCTAAATATATTTGCAGCTTTGTGGCATCAACATTAACTTTCTTAATTCTTTTTCTTTTTTAAAAAACATATTTTTCTTGATTTCAGAGAGGAAATGAGAGAGGGAGAGAGAGCTAGAAACATCAGTGATGAGAGAGAATCATTGATTAGCTGCCTCCTACACGCCCCACACCTGGGATCGAGCCCAAAACCCGGGCATGTGTCCTGACCAGGAATCGAACTGTGACCTTCTGGTTCATGGGTCAGTGCTCAACCACTGAGCCATGCTGGCTGGGCTTGAGTATTTTTCTACCCAATTTTGATACTGTGCTTTCAGATTGTAAGGCTGGGACTACTGTGTGCAAAAATAGTTTGGTGAATGAAGATACTTGTTTACTAGTACATACGCGCCATAATTGCTTTTTTTATATTACAATGCGGTGTACTGAATGTGGTAAAAAATAAATAAATAAAGGTGATGAGGTTACAAAAAAATGACCATTTCAAATGCACTAGGCAACTGCAGATTCGGCACAGAGCTGAGTACCCACATGCAGTGGACGAGTAACATGGTCAGAAGCCAGTGGGGCAGGGCTCAGCTTCAGCCAACAGGCTGGAAGGAGAAATTAGGGCGAGCAGCAATGCACTTACTGGCAGGACTTCTTTGTCCACATTCATCCACTCTGGTTCAAGTTTATAGACCTATACCTGTCTCTGCTATGGGTCCAGGACTCAGAGATCATGTGGCCCTGAGCCAGCTTGATTTTCAGTTAGGTACACAGACTGCCCTGCTCCATTAATCAGAATTGAATTTCACAGACTGGCTTTATTTCACATGCCCACTTCTACTTAATAAATTTTAGAAATGAACAGTGAACATACTAACTATATATAGGCTACATATATTACATGGATTATATGCTATATCCTCTATAATAATAAAAGTGTAATATGCTAATAAGACAAGACGTCCTTCCAAAGTCCTTCCGGATGACCTTCCAGGCAAAGCTGGGGCTGCAAGGGCCAAGCCCCTTGCATGAATTTTGTACATCGGGCCTCTGGTTTATAATAAAAGCCTAATATGCTAAGTATCTGGTTGTCTGTCCAACCAATCAAAGCGTAACATGCTAATGATATGCTAAGGTCGCTCAACCACTCACTATGACATGCACTGACCACCAGGGGGCAGACAGTCAACTGGTCAACCAGTCGCTATGACGTGCACTGACCACCAGGGGACAGATGCTCCAACTGCTGGGGTCCGGCTGATCAGGACTGAGAGAGATGGGCCAGACAAGCACTGGAGCCCTCCCTCAGTCCCTCCCCAGCTGGCCAACCTCCCATATCTCTCCCTGGCCCTGACTGTGCACTGGTGGGGTCCCTCGAACTGGCCTGCACTCTCTCCCAATCCAGAACCCCTCGGGGGATGTTGGAGAGCTGGTTTCGGCCTGATACCGCAGGCCAGGCCGAAGGACCCCACTGGTGCATGATTCATGGACTAAGCCTCTAGTATTTATATATGTATCTAAATTGTGATTTTACTTTAGTTAGTAGGTCTAGTTTATGTGCATTTTTAAAATGTAAGTATAGGGTATATCTCTGCTACCTAGTAACACATGTTATGTCCCATTTAGAAGGAAAGAGAAGCATATGATGTGGAAGGTAAAAGTTACTGCGGAAATCTGATTGCATTAAATGATGCTTTTTTCATTCACGTGACCAATTTTACAAACTGGAAGGAGTCTGCACTTTTTCTTTTTTTCTTTCTTCTTCTTTTTTTTTTAAGAGACAGACTGGAAGAGAGAGGGACAGAGAGGAATATCGATGTGAGAGAAATCGATTGGTTGCCTCCTGCACATGCCCTGACCAGAACCCAGGCCCGAGACCAGAATTGAACACAAGACCCTTCGGTCCATAGGCAGAGTCTCTATCCCTGAGACAAATAGGCTAGGGCGTCTCTCCCATTTTCTAGCTACTGTATTCCTTTTGCAGATACCCTTATATATTTAGCAGTTTACCTGAGTTAACTACTACTCTTTGTAGATTAGAGAGACTTTTAGAATTGAAGTTTTAGCATCCTAAAGTAGCTAAGATTATAATTACTTACCTATCTCTTTCCATGTTCACCGGATAGCAGAAGTTGATTTAAACTAGCATCTGTAGAATTATTGCGATCACCTTTTAAGGTCATCGATATCCCTGACGACTTAAAGAAATTAAGAACTCAAAGTAATCATTAAAATCCATTATTTTAATTGCTTAAATAAACGTGTAATTAATGTAGGTGAGGCGGACCACAAGCAGTTTGATGAAATTTGCATCGTCATCCTATTGATGGGGACAGAGGCAGCGCCCCCCAGTGGACAGACTGAACTGAAGGGGGTGCTCACTCAGCCTTCAGAGACATGCGTATGGTAATGGCGTTCAAGCAAAAATCAAAGCAAACATTAACTTATGTTTGAAAAATATGTCTGAACTACACAAAAAGAAGGGTCATGACCAATTTTGTACCTGCTCAAATCAGGACATTTTAAAAGATGACCACCTGTGACTACTTAAGGGTGCGGTCGAATGGTCCATTATCAACACAAATACAAATGGAAATCACTTTATGAAACTTTGTGGAGAGGCCATTTGAAGGTCAAGGCCTAGGTTCTGCCAGTGGGATTTTGGTCTTCATATCCGTGTGGGTGCGCGGGGTGATGGGCTTGGGCTGGCAGCCCTAGCACTGCAGTTCCTCCTCCGCCCGCCGGGGGGCGCCCGCCGAGCTCTGCGCGCTGGCGTGGGCGGTGGAGCTGAGCACCTCTTCGAAGCTGCCTCCGCCCTGGTTCGTCCCGGCTACTTTCGTCTGAAAGGGGCAGAGAAGCAAACATGCAGTTAGTTCATTTTTTTCTGAAATGTTTTTATAACATCGACTACTCTCAAGTTCGGAACTACTTTTTTTCCCTTGAGACAGTCTGTAAAGGATGTAGAGAAGTCAGCTTCCTTTGGCAGAGGGCTAGGATGTCATGCATGCCTGGGTTCCGGGACTGGAATAGAAACTTAAATTTTGTACAATGGTAGCAACTCTCTCTCTTCTACATTCTCAATCCCTCCAGGAGCATAACCAGATCTGTGGATTCGAATTATCTCCTCACTCACCCAGAGAAACGATTTAATTCATAAAAAACAGACTTTAGATATATTCCCCCAATTTTACAAATGTATGGACATTTTAAGTGACTTAGACTTCGGATTTCCACTTGAGATTTAACTAGGCAATCTGCATTTCTGACAAATGTCTCTTGAAAAGGCGGAGTGGCTCCACGGAACATGATTGTTGGTCTCTGCTTCGAGAGTTGTAGATGAATGAAGTGTTAAGCCCTGGCCACTGCACATCTTTCTAGGCAGTTGCCTTTACAGGAGGAAAAGCCCTTTAAATGGCCCTTTACAACACTCCTTTTTTGTGTACTTGTTATTAAGCATAGACTGAGGAAGAAGTCAATTTATAATTAAATAATACAATTAAGTATTTTGAAAAATTCCCTAATAAAAAGTTCTTGGAAAGTATATTCTTTAGTCAGCCAGAATGCTTAATGAAAGTCTTAACAATAGCCTTTCTTTAACCATTAACAATATGGATAATCACTCCGAGGAAAAGAAAGGTATAGAAAAGGTTGCTATTCTCAAACTGCTGTCACGCCTCACTGTCACCAAGGTGATCCCTCACAAGAACATACACCACTCTGGGGAAGCAGTGTATCCGCCTACGCAGTGATGGCGAACCTATGACACAAGTGTCAGAAGTGACACGAGAACTCATTTTTTTGGTTGATATTTCTTTGTTACATGGCATTTAAATATATGAAATAAATATCAAAAATATAAATCTTTGTTTTACTATGGTTGCAAATATCAAAAAATTTCTATATGTGACACGGCACCAGAGTTAAATTAGGGTTTTTTCAAAATGCTGACACGCCGAGCTCAAAAGGTTCGCCATCACTGGCCTACGGCCTGGCCTGCCCCTTTAAAACCTTAACCAGGGTTCAAAAGCAGTCCAATCATTACAAGCAAACACACACTTTTCTCCAATTGTCACTAAGTGCCTCTCTACCTCTTTACTTACAAAGTTGAATTTTTCCATCAGGTGGGGGTCGGGAAATCCATTGGGGAAAGTGACAGATAAACACAGGGTGTCCCAAAACATGTGTACACACTTCACCAGCTGATAGCTCAGTTTTGAAAATGCAATGTATTTAATAAACACTGCCTTTATAATTATTCAAAGTGTGTGTATACATTTTTGGGGAACACCCTATATCTTAGGCTTGGGAATCACAAATACTCAAATTAGCCGTTGTAGAAAGTAGCCAGAGATGATGCATAAGTGAGTGAGCACGGCTGTGCTTCAGAAAGACTGTATGAAACTGTAGTGTGAATTTCCTGTAATTTCATTTTCACAAATCACAAATATGATTTTTCTTTGTTGTTTTTATTTTTCAGCCATTAAAGAGGTGTAAAAACCATTCTTAGCTTACAGGCCATTCAAAATAGGTGACCAGCTAGACTTGGCCCCCAAGCCTCAGGTTACAGACCTCTGCACAGAGCATTCGATTTCTCCTCTCCTCTTAGCACTGGGAAGGAGGGGGTTGCTTTCCATTAGGTGACTTTTTTTTCACAATGCTTATTTCTTTTCTGGGAGAAGCAAGATTAATCCACTGTGATTTACTCTATTAGTAGTCCCCGTTCTCTTTATTTTATTCGCATTCCTCTTTTCAATACAGGTTACACACAGTATTGAATCAGATCAATACAAATTACTCATGTTTTCTTCTGGGCATTGTTTCATTCTTTCTCTCCTACTTCTTGATTTTCTCACATCAAAATAGAAAAAAAAGAAGAAGGAGGGGACCACTTTGAAATAAAGCTATTTGGCCAAAAGGAGTGAAATAAAGGAGTTTCCTAACTATGTGGGCCGAATGACTGCCCACTGCAATACTTTAGGCAAGGACTGGCTTAAGCAAAGATGTGAACAATAAACCACTCCATATCGCTTCCCCTCGTAATGGTTTTCCAAACACGAATTTGTCACTTTGTCCCCAAAATTATACTTGTTCTTTGTAAAAAAGTTTATTTGAATTAATGAATTATGCTTCCTAACCTCTCATAATAAAATACCTGGTTGAAAGGACATAAAGAAACAATAAGTGTCCTGCCTTTTTGTTTAAAAATCAAGCTTAAAGCAGTATGTGAGCATGGCAATGCAGCATATCCTAGTAGACCTGCCAGGAATTCCACTCGTCCTGCTGATTCCCCAGTCATTCCCTCAGCAGGCAACAGCCCCAGGATCCACAATTGAAGAACATGACAGAAATGTGGTAAAAGATTTAGGACACAAAAGTAAACTATACAGAAAATGAGCTATATAAAAAAGGGCCAAACATCTATTATTTAGGCTGAAGAAAAAAAGAAATGAGAAATTTGCAATTATGAGGAAGTGAGAGGTTTTACACAAAGCATGATTATTGGCTATTTTCCATCGCCTGGTGGGCAGAAACAGAGGGACTAGGCATTGACCGTGACACAGGAAGCGGGTGGGCTGTGAGTCTTGTTAAACCCAGGGACAATCATGCCAACACAGAATTCACTTTCAGGAGGTCTTGACATGGGCTAGTTTCCAGCTGGCTGAGTTAGTTTTGTGCGTGTTTGAAGGAGGAGACAGGCTCTCTGCCTTCCATCCCAGTGAGGTAAGGAAGTGAGAAGCTGAGAGTGTGAAAAACACTTAAATCATAAAATCATACGTGAGCTGTGAGCTTACCAGAGTTTCCTAAAAGCAAATGAAAATTGGTTGCTCTTTATTCTTCTTTTGCTTCTTCATAGCTCCTTCTTCTAAAGAAAACCTAAAAAGCATAACTTCTCCTAAGTCAGAACGTGTCTAACGAGCAACAGAATCCATCCTCTTTGGCGTGTCTTAGGCTGAGAACCAAATGTTGAGAAATTGACTCCTAGGGGTTTTTGAGCCTTTTGTTTTAAAACAGGATATTGTAGCAAGAGAAATGTCCGAGATAACGCATGTCCCTCCCTACCAAACGTTTTCCCTGCCAATGGGGGCAATTTAATGGCTCCTACTGGTCACTCAGGTGATGATGCTGACAAGCAGAGGGATGAAACTGCACAACTAGAAACTGCTGGTAAATGAAACCAGTGAAGGCATGATAGGTGCTGAGTAATTATTTCATTCTTGGGCCTTCAACACCTAATCACAGGCCTAATAAAGTAGAAGGTTTCTATGTTAAAGACCCTCCCCCTAAGAGGAAAGACCTTCTAAATCAAAATCAGTAAGAGCACCCAGGGCCTCTCGTGAGGAACAGACGCCCTCACAGACCCTTCTCAGGCAGTATGGTGACAGGGGATTCAGAAGCAGCTGGAATCAGCATGTGCAAATATCTGCTTTAGATCCAGTTAAAGATCATCTGTATTTTTAGTTTTCTCAGTAATAAGGAAATGCAGAAATGGATTCTCTACAAAACAGTGATAATGATACCAAGATATAGGTAAGTCATTGTTTAGGTGATATCTTTAAAAGCATAATCTTAGCAGTTTCAGTGATTTTTCCTGCTTTAAACGTTCTATACATTTTAAGATTAGATTGAATTTAATTTCGCTCTTTTTTTCCTCTGTAGAATAACTTATCTCTGCTGAAACAAAAAAAGTCAATAAAATTGTTTAGCTCCTACTATGTATGCCACAGGCATATTTTTAGTTTATACCCAGGGATCCAATGCACTGTTACAAAATAATGCATCATGTGACTCCGCTTTATTTTCCCTGTATGATAACCAAACTGTGTTGTGCTTAATATGTGAATTGGATAAAAAAGTTAAGGCAGCTGGCAGGTAGTGAGTGGCAGTATAACACGGGGAGCCAAGTTTGTGTTTGCTAGTCCACGTCCATCCCAGAAGAGCGTTGAACTGTTATTGAACTTACACTCTAAATTCAGAATTCACAGATCCTTTGGTCCATCCACATCCTCTCTCACTTACCTACTTTTCTAGGAATAGCATTAGGAGGTCTAACCAGCTAACCAGTGCAGAGATGAATACGTACCCCAATTCACTTCCATGAACAATTCATTTCTAGTGGCATATTTGTCAGGATACAGTGACACTACTCAAGCCTGGTTCTATTTACGGATTTATATGTGAAGCCTGACTGTGCAAGGCCGCCTTCTCGACTGCACCACAGGTTGGCAGCGCCACCCTTGGAACTAACCACAGCAATGACTATGCTGTCCTGATTCAATGGCCCGATGACACAAAATTCACTTCATCTGTACCTTAAGACTTGTGACAGTTGTCTCAACCCTCTCCTCAAATGATTTGAAAGTAGGAGAATTCCTAAAATAACAAAAAAAGAGAGAGGTCAGCTCCAAAGACCTGCCTGTGTTAGTAACTAAGCTGTCTGATTTCTGCTCTTAGAAACATCACTTCTGCAACAGAGCTAGCTGTCGGTGTGGCACCTACCCGACCACGTTTTAATAACATGAATTTCACTTCTGCCAGGTTAGATTCAGAAACCATACTTGACATGGAATTTTTCCAAGTGGAATAGTGAGACACTCAACTGTAGAATTGTACAGCATTTGGCAACAGTACAAACGTAATAATGCCATCATGCACTGTGAGTCATTATCAATGAGTCAAAGGAGTGATAGCTTAATTTTTCATTTACTAATTGCTTCTATCACAACACTCTTTCTCCCAACTTTTTTTTTATTTTGTAAGCATGCAGAATCTGTCTAAAGAATATCATGTTTGAGTTTTCTCACTTGGAATTTTAAAGTTATTCATTTCAGTGTATGTGAGACAAGACAGAAATAGCTCAAGGAAAAGAAGGTTTATAAGTTTTTCTTTTCAGTGCCTTCAAAAGTAATCATTTGGTCAACTTTCATAAAGCAGTGTTTCTGAAAGTCAATGCTTTGATTATTGTAAGTTGAAATATTACTTATTACTTGTCTAATGCTTTGTCACAATGGTGTTATTAGTATGTGGTATTTTCCCTCCCGAAGAGGATATAACTAATTGTTCTCTTAGCAGAGTGAAACTTCACAGTGCACTGACATTTTATTTGTGACTCGTCATTGTGTTAAATAATCTATACCATTTGTAACTAGAAGTGTTAAATACTTCATTTGGTGCCTTTTGGTTTCCTATACTGGGTTTGGTCACATGACATGATTTAATGACAACATTACCATAGAAATTGATATCACCAAGTCCAACTAAAGAAATAAAAACTGAACTAAAATGTGTCTTAAATCTTGTGTCCATGTCAGCTTTCAGCAACAAGGACAGCCATCATTTTCACACCAAATAATTCCATTTGATAAGCCAATTATGATTTTCTCTTGAGTGCAGAGGAAAGAAAATAAAAGGAATGGCCTGGAGAAACTTCGGAAGGAAGAATGGCTTTAAAATAGGGGCTTCGTTGCATGGTGTGGAATGAAGCATCGCTCTAATACTATCAAGAGGAAAGTAATGTAGAGGACATGGTTTTGAGTGAATCTGGCTTTGTTAGGGATTGCCGCCCAAGACTTGGATGCTCCAGATGATCAAAAACGTATGTCTTTGCGTTCTGGCTGCATGAATTCACAATGGCAAGATCGGAAGGCCCAAGCATAGCTCTGCACCTTGTATTTGATTCAAACATGAGTCAAATTCCTATGAGTGATCCTCCATAATACCTCTGTTTCAGGAGGAAGAATTAGTGAAATTACACTTGAATGACTCAAAAGAAGACACTCACTGGCACCTGACTTCCATGGCAAGTTCTATCTGGCCAGACTGCTCACGTGACTGCTGTCACCCGTCAGTTACATTAGGCCACACTGGGCAGACAGTTTGCCTAATGGTTTATGGGTATATTTTAGAAGAGTAACGTCATTTTTCTTTTCAAGTTAATTTCAGGCAATTTTATGAGGATTGAATTTGACCCATAAGCCATGAATTCCTGGTTCATAGAGCAAAATCATGTTAATTTCTTGCAAGCTCTAGACTTAAAATTTGACATAAAGGAGCTCAGAGCCTCCCAGGTTACACTACTCCGTCTGGCTGTTCTTACACTGTGGGGAGCAAGTCATTCAAATAGGAACAAAGCAATCCTGAATCTATGCTCTCTACCACCAAATTAGGGAAATCAGATACTGTGATTAAATTCCCAAAGTAACCAAACAACCCCAGTGTAGAAGAGACATCGTCGGACATAATGAAACAGGCATTTCTCAAATTAAATTACAGTAGAATACATACTGGAGAACAGGGAGAAACTGTTTACTCAGATTTAATCATATTATATAAAACTACAAACTTTTAGCAGTGCAAATGACCCCAGAACGAACTTGGCTTTGGTGCACTGAAAATGTGAAGAGTAACTGAACCCCCTCTCTAATGTATCCACACCACAACATAGGATACCAAGCAGGTTGGAGAGGCAGAGTTTTAACTAAAGTGGGGTAGGGTCCCAGGGCCTTGATTCTGCTCCCCCTCCCCATCACCATGGCAACTCAAGGCAAACACCATGGGAAAAACAGAACATCTGGTTCTAGTTTCTTACTTATAAACATGATGAAACATATCACTGAGGTGAGTTTCCAAGGCTGCAAAATTCATTCCTGGCAGACTTCGCCTACAACCTGTATCCTCTGATTCCCAGTCTAACATCAACTCCTCGATATGCTATGACTATGAGCTTGATTTTATCTGACTGTATCACAAACTCAAGCACACTGGAAGCGGAGGCCATCTTTCTCAGTTTTCATCTTGACAGTAATCTTAATGATATTTTTTATTGTTCAACAGATACCTCACCTTAATTTATACCTTAAAAAGCCTAATGATATCCTTTCTAAATCTGCTCCCTCTCATTTAAACTTTCCCTTTCATTTAAACTTTCTTCCAGCCTTGCATTTAATTCTGGGGAAATATATTTCTACCTTTGCAAGTGTGCTCAGAATGTTCTAGGCCAGTGATGGCGAACCTATGACACGCGTGTCAGAGGTGACACGCGAACTCATTTTTGTTTTTTATTGTTCAACAGATACCTCACCTTAATTTATACCTTAAAAAGCCTAATGATATCCTTTCTAAATCTGCTCCCTCTCATTAAAAATTTCTATATGTGACACAGCACCAGAGTTAAGTTAGGGTTTTTCAAAATGCTGACACGCCGAGCTCAAAAGGTTCGCCATCACTGTTCTAGGCCTTACATAGGTCACTTTGTTTATATCTCACAACAACTATATAAAGTAGCTTTTAATGAAGATGGAGGTAAATTAAATAACTTGTCCCAAGTCTCACATATCAGGAGATTTAAGCTGGGGTGTCCGGTCAGAAGCCCAAGATTATTGCATCTACGCTACTTTTACAGGATTGTCAAAGTACCACAGGTTCTCCCGAGGACCACCGGAAAAGAGAACAAAGTAGTTCATGGCACTTCCTTTCATATACAGGAGAAAAAAAATCCACCAGGTAAATATCAGTAAAGTAACAGTTCATACAAATTCTGCATTAACATTACGTAAAATAATTTACACACATTACCTCATTGCAGGCATACTTATGGAATGGCGAATGGAGTAGCTTCAGGGCAAAAGCAGATTAAAGGGAAGAAGAGAAAGAAAAGAGAAGATAGCACAACATAAGCACATGAGAAACTCCCTCCTCACCGTTCTAAAACAGCAATCTCAACTCTCTGAAGTGTTTGCTGCCCAACCCACCAAGATGATCTTTGTTTTCATTGGGTAGCATGGGCCACAGTCAATTCCAAGGGGACAAGGGAAGAATAGGCGGTACATAGTTGCATATTCTTTTACTTCCTGTAGGTGCCCTATAGGCCAGGAAGTCTGATGTGAATGTCTGGTTCCTTCCAGGTCAACCCAGTAGCCCATGAGCATTCTGTCAAGGGCCTGAAACTCTCCAGAGGAATATAGGTAGTTAACACGAGACAGTCCATTTTCCACACGTTCCAACACCATCCCTGCTTTCTCCCCTCCCAAGAAGCTAACTGGGAAGGGATCAAACTCATCACCCTTTCCCAACAATATCCACTGAGGCCATTGTATGGGTGGCACTTGACTAGAATGGAAACGAACGGACAAAGAAATTCAGGTGATACTATGGTTCTACCTTAAACACTCCATTTGGAAACTATAAACAAAATATTTCCTCAGAAATTGTATTAAAAAAGAATTACTAAAATAAATTCATCAGCATTATCAATCTATTAATCTCCTTAAATAGAGACAGTTTTCTCAGAAAAACAAATTCCAAAAAAAGCATATAATGAGATTCCAGCTAAAAAAAAAAAAAAGCTTAATTCAGGGCACAGTGCCCAACATATGTGCTTCTCCAGTAACTTTTTCCCTCTTCAACTTCAGAAGGTACAGAAAGTTGAAGATGAACCATCCTATTAACAACAGTCACAAGATGTTCAGAAAATATGGCAGTCTAGAGAAAGTAATTTGCTGTTTCTGGACCTTACTTTCTCTAAGTTTTATAAAAATACACAACTCTCAATATCCATGTTCCTTTTTTCCTTCTCTCAGAAGGAACTCTGCCAATATAGGGAGAAATGATGCAGAAAGAGATTCCTAAGAGATTGGGCAGCAAGTGAAGCTGGTGTAAATGATTCAGAAAGGAGATAAATATGTGCTTACATAAATTCAAATGCCTCAGATGCCCCCTCCCCCGCCCCCCAGTCTGTAACTCCCTGGTCAGAACACTCTCAGGAAGAGAGACTTAGTTTTTGGCAGAGGCGCACCCACACAGTGAAGAAAGACAGCTCTGGGAAGGAAGGGGCTGAGGGCCCCCAGGCAGCGCTTACCCGATGGAGTGGGACCTGCAGCCGGGGCAGCATGGAGAGAAGAGCAGGAGCAGCATTAGCACATCAGGAGGAAAAGATACACTACACTGGCCCTTGTCCCCTCTGCTAAGAGCCCCAAAGCAAACAGTAATTCCATTCATTATAGTTTTTGAGTCTACTGATTTCTAACTATGAAACTCTCTAATGAAATCATGTGCCTCCTCCAAAGATTTCATCTGCACCAGATCACACGCAGTTTGAACAAATTCCTGAGAAGTATCAGGAAGATGCCAATATCATAAAAAGTATTCCATCAGCTTGCATTTCTTCAGAATACTTTCACAAATGTGACCTCATTTTAACTTCACAGGAAACATTTTAATTTGATAGGTTTTTTTAAAATTTGTTTTTACTGATTTCAGAGAGGAAGGGAGAGGGAGAAAGAGATAGGAACATCAATGATGAGAGATAATCATTGATTGGCTGCCTCCTGCAGGCCCCACTGGGAATCAAGCCACAACCCAGGCTTGTGCCCTGACTGGGAATCTAACCCATGACCTCCTGGTTCATAGGCTGACACTCAACCACTGAGCCACGCCAGCCGAACTAATGGATTCTTTCTAATTTCTGCCCTACCTTGTCACTGAGATGGTCCCTTAGTGAAGATAAAAACTAGCATTTTTCGAGTGCTGAATACATGGCAGGTTCTCTGCTGCTTTTAAAATAACTCGATGGTGTTGTTACTCTTATCCCCATTTCATAACTGACAACCCAGGTACACGGGAGCTAAGTTGCACCTGGCTTCCTCGGAACCTGACCATTTGAAGTTGAATCACTGGGAGCTTGTTACTAAGCAGATTCCTAGATTCCACCCAAGACTGAGGCACAACTCGGGGAGGTGCAATCTGGAAATAAGTATCTTTAAAAAGATTCAGAGCTACTTATAAGGCCCCTAAAGATGAAGAAACACCGAGGTCCCACTGTTCAAGTGAAAGGTTTCAAGTAAGTATGTGGAGAATGAATTTTATAAACGTGGCAAAATCTATTTTCTTGGATATAACAGGTAATAGGGTCTTCCCTATTTAAGGAATTATTTAACTAGTTTAAATCAATGTTTTAATACCATTGAAATGATTGCAAATTTTATTTGTAATAAAATTAAGGTTAATTAAAATACAGAAGGTTTACCTGTTAATCACATGCTGCCTCTGAAGAATTTCAATGGCGTTTGTTATTATTAGTACTCAGATTTCAATGGCGTTTGTTATAATTAGTACATTTCTTACTTAACTCCAGCCTCATGAATACCAAGTTATTAAGATGGAGCATTAGTATTGGGCACAATCTAGCAATATTTGAAGTAAAAAAATAACTTAAACACAAAGATATAAATATTTCCCTTTAGGTATCAAAGTTGCAGGGTAATAAAGAATTAATAGTTTAAGAATCCAGTGAAATAATTCACACAGATCTTTTTAAAAGAAGTAATTTAAAATTTACTTTAAACGTTTTTAAAGAATGAATTTGATTTCTAGAGAAAAAGGAAATCGGTTTATAAATTTAAAAAATCACATAAGCATATCAGCTAAATTCCAAATAAACTATGATAGGAATTTAAACAAGCAAAAAAGCATGAGAGAACAATTCTATATAACTCCTTAGCACATAATATAAAAAATAATGGTCAATACTGCAATGTTTTTCTGGTGACTATAGTGAGGACATTTGGTTCTCAGTTCAAAATTTTAATGATCACCTAATTTTATATAATAGTGAAATACTGAAAAATAACCAAAATGTGCAAGGAAATGCACTGGAAGATAATAAAGTTATTAAAAATGTAATAAACATTTATTGACATGTTCACAATATTGCTAAAGTGAAGAAAGAAAACTACCAGAAATATACACCATATATATGTTATGTATTTAGCATAGAAAAATGGATGTATATAAAACTGTAACTAGATGGATGTATATAAAACTGTAACTAGAATGGTTTATCAGAGCATATTCCACTGAATACATATTTTATTTTAATTTATTGGTTAAATTACAATAATGAAAATTCATGTGTGCTGTGTTCTTTTGAAATCCCTTATACCAGCGATTAAAGACATCCTCTATCTTCTATTTTTACTAGGTTGGGTCCTAGTGGAAAGGGCATCTTTGGGACCAGTCCTGCCACTAAACTGACCTCCAGTCAGAATATGTCCTAATATAATAATTTATCTCAGTCACTAATCACTATCTGCCCCATAATATGTTAATCCAATTAAAAAAGACTATCTTAGGAAGACTAGCCAATAGATAACGCTCCTCCTCTCTCTAGCAGCCAAGGGCTGAGCACATTCCCGGGGCTCTCTCCCACGGTACCTCATGTCTCCGAACTTCTTGCTGATTGCCGTCCCAACATTGCTGAAAGCAGCAGTTGCCTTCTGCCCTGCGTGACTCAGGGTTTCATGTGTCTTCTTGTAGCTGGAAGTAAACAGAACAATAGTTTATATACCATGATCACCCGTAAAACATCCATCGTCCATCTCTCTCCTTAGTGACTGTTTCTAGTCATTGTTTTGAAATGATGGGTTGGCTGCCATTTATCAAAGGGACAGTCAGACAATTAAATCTGAATTCAGGAAAAAGATAGAGACACAAGTATCGATCTGAATGTGCAGATCTTTAATCGCAAGGAGTGGGACTGTTCCGAGAGTAGAGAGTCATTCTTAAAGAAGTGTATTAACTTTACGAAGAGACACTTGTCAATGAAAGCCCTAGACATCAAAGGTGACACAGAAATTTAAAAATGTACATTTCAAAGAGAACTTTAAGCTTTTACTGTTACTATGGGTAAAATTAACCATAAAAAAGCAAATACATAACTAGTGTTTAACTTACTTTTCTTTTTTTTTCCTTTTTTTAAATATATTTTATTGATTTTTTACAGAGAGGAAGGGAGAGAGATAGAGAGTTAGAAACATCGATGAGAGAGAAACATCGATCAGCTGCCTCTTGCACATCTCCTACTGGGGATGTGCCCGCAACCCAGGTACATGCCCTTGACCGGAATCGAACCTGGGACCTTTCAGTCTGCAGGCCGACGCTCTATCCACTGAGCCAAACCGGTTTCGGCTAACTTACTTTTCTAATACTTATACTGAGAATAAGAAAGGCACATGAGTTAATATAACACAGTGACTTTCTCAAAAACAGTTTTAGGAATGTAGTACTGTAATGACCTATGTCTGCTCATCGCCTAGGCCCCCCGACTAGACTGACTCCTTGAGGGCGAGGAAGCCACTCATCTTTGTGTCCCCGGTGTCTGACAGAGGGTTACAGGAGAAACTCAGTAAGCACTATCAGGGGTGGGCAAACTTTTTGACTCGAGGGCCACAATGGGTTCTTAAACTGGACCGGAGGGCCGGAACAAAAGCATGGATGGAGTGTTTGTGTGAAGTAATATAAATTCAAAGTAAACATCATTACATAAAAGGGTACGGTCTTTTTTTTTTTTTTAGTTTTATTCATTTCAAACGGGCCGGATCCGGCCCGCGGGCCGTAGTTTGCCCACGGCTGCACTAGATGAACGAATGGATGCTCAGAGAGGATGCTCCTTTGTGGCTCTGAACGGGGAGTCGTGGCAGGAAGAATGGAGAGGAGGTGGTGGGTCACAGAGAGAGATGCACAGACTTGCGAGGTGATAAGTGACAGATAGAACCAGATGAAAAGATTGGCCTGGGGTGTTGAACACAGTGACAGGAAGAACCGTGCTCTATCCATAGTTCTGAGAAATTTCTAACAGTTACTTAATAAAATGGGAAACAAAAGAGACCTAACCTGAGAGAATCAAAAGAAATCAAGAACAAGTTTTGTACATCACTTCACAACATGCCAAGTCATTATGCCGTACACTTTAAACGTACACAGTGCCGTGGGTCAATTATATCTCACTGAAACTGAGAACAAAACAAGAATGTTTGTATAGATTAAAAAAGAATCATAAATTCTTATAATGTACGTACCACCTTCTTCCGGTATCTGCTACTCCCAGGTAAGTTCCCCCAAAGCTTCCTGCTGGGTCTAGAGCACTTACATTACCTGGCACCTCTGAGAAGACTTTACTTTATATCAAATCAGGTGTGTGTGAATGTCCCTTATCCCTCCATCCGCCCCTTCCATCTCCCGCGTCATGTCCTATCATACTTTAAGGAAATGCTTTAAAACATGCGCCTTGGTCTTCCTCGGGACTGAAATCACTTTATTAATATAGCATTCTCCTGCTGTCATTTTGTTAGCAGCTTGGAATGAGTTTACCATATGTTATTTATTTACACAATGCCTGTTTTTCAGGAAGTGTCAAAATCATATTATCTAGATCATAAAACCAAACAAAATATTCATGTACTAAACAGACATTTCCTAGCGAATATGGAAAGACCAGGGAAAATAAGGGTCAAAGAAGAACCTGGTGAGTAGGAGGGAATTTGTGTGTCTGGCGAGAGCTGTGTGAGGATAATGGGAACTTTTTGTTGATTTCTTTTGATTCCCTCAGGTTAGGTCTCTTTTGTTTTCCACTTTAGTCAATAACTGTTAGGAATTTCTCAGAACTATGGATATAGCGCTGTTCTTCCTGTCACAGTGCTCAAAACCCCAGGCCAAACTTATTAAGATTCAGTATCTCCTCCAGTGACCTCCCCACAGCTACATCCCAAGCCACACACATCCCCTGTGCCTCCCTGAAGCCTAAAGACAACATAGAAGAGCAGCAGGGATCATTTTTAAAAAGGAGGGGGAATATTTTGTGTCTGCTCTTAGATTCTCTCAAACCAGGACACGTAAAAAACTATGACACCAACAACAGCAACAATAAACCCGGGACACAGGGGATCTCTTGACCTGCTATTGTATGGTTATCTTTCTAGAAAGGAGCTAATTTCAGTCTGCTGTGTAATTATTCCTACTCATCCAGTTCTATTCCAATTTGAATCCTACCACAGACTAAAATATGCCAAGATCTTTCATTACCATCCCACAGATTTTCTTTTCATTATAAATCAAACTAAATAGGTCATGATTGCCTAATCAGTATGCAAAGTATTGCCTCTGGTAGTCACCAGCGATTCTCTGACAGCTAACGTTCCTTTTAGTGCTTTAAAATCTAATTCTACCCAACTAACCCCATCCCAGTTCCCTCACATCAAAATGTTCACTGTATGAGCTACAGAGCTTGTCCTGGAATGGGTATCATGGACACTAACAACAGGGATTTAATTAATGAATGGAGAAAATCGATTTTGCTATCTGCCCCCTCCCCCACCCTAACATGTGAGTAAGACTTTTTCCCTTCCCTCAGCAGCCAAGAAAAAACGGTGGGAGGAAGATGCTCTCCCAAAATTATGTTGTTGACAGGCTTCCCTCCTAAGAGAGAGATTGATTCTTTCCTACAAAGCAAAGTTCACATCATCCCTAAAGGTTAGTGAGTCCACACTCATCTGTATCTATGGAAGGATCTCTGAGGCAATCTCCTCTAGTCCTATAGCTTTCAAGACATCAGAAGGCAGACGACTCCCGAATGTCCTGGACTTTTCCCCACGTTGTGCTCTTGGTATATAAACTCGTTTGTCTACTGGGCATTTCAGACTTGATATGGCCAAAACGATTCTTGGGTCTCCCCACAAAATCTGTCTCAGTCTTTCCTAGAACAGTGAGTATGCCTACAAAGTGTCAGACACCGTCCTGCATCCTACACAGATATTATCTCACTGAATCCTCACTTCCTATGAAACAGATACTAATATGACCTCAATCCGCAGATGCAGGAAGGCCTAGATTTTAACCCAACCCGCTGGAGTCCATAGCTCATGGCTTAGCCACAATGCCACACTCCCATTGCAGTAAACAGTACCCATACTCACCCAGTAGTCCAAATCCAAGGCCAAAGAGTTACATTGGATCCTTCTATTCTCCTCATCCCCTGCCTCCCAACCACTAGGAAATTCCATTGGCCTGACCTCCAAGTCCTGTCCGCTCCCTGTCCACAACTCTCCCTCACCACCATCCCCACCTGGACTACGGCAACAGTCTCATAAAGGACTTTCCGGTTTCCACACCTGCCTCCCACAATCAATATCACACAAAGCAACTTCAGTGATCCTTCCGAAAGATGAATCAGAACAGGTCACTTCCTGCTTCAAACTCTCCAACAGGATCCTGAGCCCTGGGAAGAAAATCCCCACAGTTCCTCATGAAACAGAGGCTCTGGCCCCCTCTCCTCTCACTACACTCCAGGCATAGCACTTGCTTTGGGCTCCTACAACCTAGAAAGCTAGTTCTGGCCTCGGGGTCTTTGCAGAAGCCTTTGCCTTTGCATGGAAGCTCTTCCTCAGATCATCACAAGATCTTCCTCATCATTCAGGTCTCAGCTCAAAGCAGCTTCTAGGACAGGATTTCCCTGACTGGGAGCCCGTCCCAGCAGCTTCTCCTCAGCCCCCTTCTCCTCCTGTAGAGCATCACCCTATGCCATTTAGCACTTCCTGATATTTCCTTAGATGTTCATTTTATTACTTGGTTCTTGCTCTTTTGCCTTTCGACACACAAAGAGAGTAGGAACTCTGTCCATCTTTGAAGCCTGTACCCCGTGGGCTTAGATTAGCCTTTGGATAATAATGCCTCAGAGTAGACACTCATTAAAGTTGCTGGATAAACAAACTGTCATGACCCCTTTAATGGCTTTCTATTGCCTGTGGATAAAGAATAACTCTATTTCCCATCTGGGGTTGCTCAGTGGTTGAGCGTCGACCTATGAACCAGGAGGTCATGGTTCGATTCCCGGTCAGGGCACATAGCTGGGTTTCGGGCTCCATCCCAGTAAGGGGCGTGCAGGAGGCAGCCAATCAATGATTCTCTCTCATCATTGATATTTCTATCTCTATCTGCCTCTTCCTTCCTCTCTGAAATCAATAAAAACGTATTATTTTTTGTTAAAAAAATAACTCTATTAACAGATGCCACAGGCCACTTCTACCTGCCATCTCCACAGCAGTGAGTAACTGGAGCCTCCTCTCCTGGGGGCCTTCACCAGGGAGCCTCCCCCAGGAGGCCCCTCCTGCCCCTGTGGCTGGAGAATTCCCACTCATCCTTCTGCTGAACATCTCTTCCTCGGGAACCCTTCCCTGGGCCCAGCTAGGTTCATTCTGCTTCCCAACCCGACAGCACCAGTATTTCACACTTATCCTTTAACTGGTGATTTGTAACTACTTATAATATAAATAAAAATAAAAACTAAACTCTGTTTTCCTGACTAGCCTATACACGCTATATCTGGAGAATAAATTTATTCTATTCATTCAACAAAAACATGATACTAAGTAGGATACCTGACTATAAAACCAAAGTGTTCTTCGAACATGGGGAAAATACAAACTACATACTCTTCCCTGTGTGAAGAGGCTAAAAGCCTTCCTGGAACTTGCCTGCTCCAATCCCATGTCCCAGCAGGACTATGAGTCTCTCCTCTCACTGCCCCACCTCCCACTCTGCCCCCATCACACCTAGAGCAAACTCGGGGCACCCTCTGCCCATCTGCCTGCTCCCCCCTCCCTTCAGCAACAAAGGGCCTGGCCCTCCCTTGGGCTAGCTTATCCCTGCAGTGCGATTAGAAAGGCCAAGCACAACATCTAGCCTGGTTCTTACACCCAGAAGGGAGTTCAGGTCAGTGTGGCATGAAGCCTCCAGACCTGGATTAAATACAGAGGTGACCAGACCCTAGGATTGGAGATTGTTTCACCTCACACTGTCAAGGCCATTAATGGGTCTAGGCCACCAAAGTGCAAAAACATAGGCCAAACTGCTGACACATGGGCTCATTTAATTTAGTGCCTAAAATCCAGCTACGCTTTTCAGGAGATTGTTCACATGGTGTTGCGTTATGTATTTGAAATGTATAAATATTGATGTGAGGTGTCTTATCTTGTATAATTGTCGTCAGGTTGGGGAAGGCTGGTTAGCCTCTGCAGATAAACAGCTGGGCTCCCTGGCTCCATCCTTCCCTACTGTGTGCCCTGACCCTGTTTGGAGACCCCTTGGGGTGCACAAGCACAGAAGCCTATGGGGTTGCTAGGCTGTTATAGGGGGAGAGAGTGGGTCTTCTTTCACCTGGAAACTAAAGGAAACACAACGGGTAAACAGCAGACTCCTTTAACCCAACTCCTCCAACAAAGGGCACCGTCATACAGGAATAAAAGGTCTTAGACCTTAACTTTCAGGAGTCAGCAGGCAAAGATGGCCCCCAACGAAACTGAAATAATGGCCACCCATCCCAGGTACCTCTTCCTACTACCAGGCCTCTGCATGTCCATTTACAATTTTATGAGAACAAATAAAAAATACATATTCGACAAATGCTTAAAAATCCTATATAATAAAAGTGTAATATGCAAATTGACCCTAATGGCAGAACGCCCGGTCGCTATAACGTGCACTGACCACCAGGAGGCAGATGCTCAACGCAGGAGCTGCCCCCTGGTGGTCAGTTTGCTTCCACAGGGGGAGTGCTGCTCAGCCAGAAGACGTCACATGGCTGGCCAGCACAGCGGCGTTGGCAGGAGCCTCTCCCGCCTCCGCGGCAGCACTAAAGATGTCCGACTGCCGGCTTAGGCCCGATCCCCCAGGGAGCAGGCCTAAGCCAGTAAATGGACATCCCCCAAGGGGTCCCAGACTGTGAGAGGGCGCAGACCGGGCTGAGGGACCCTTTCCCAAGTCACTCTAGTACAGTGGTTCTCAACCTGTGGGTCGGACCCCTTTGGGGGTCGAATGACCCTTTCACAGGGGTTGCCTAAGACCATCGGAAAACACATATTGAATATATAATTACACATTGTTTTTGTGATTAATCACTATGCTTTAATTATGTTCAATTTGTAACAATGAAAATACATCCTGCATATCAGATATTTACATTACGATTCATCACAGTAGCAAAATTACAGTTATGAAGTAGCAACGGAAATAATTTTATGGTTGGGGGTCACCACAACATGAGGAACTATATTAAAGGGTCGCAGCATTAGGAAGGTTGAGAACCACTGCTCTAGTATATAATAAAAAGAAACAAAAGCCATGTTATATGGAATACTGAGCACTGGGCCTCTAGTATATAATAAAAAGAAACATTTTTTTAAAAATATGCAATACCATAAAAGGATCTGAGTAAAAATACAATTTTAGTGAACAAAGTTTAATTTCATAAAGCTACTTTATGGAGCATGCTCCACACGCAACGTTTTAAAAATGATTGTTGAGGTTTTTCCCCTACTTTTAGAGAAAATATTCTCTAAAATATTCTTTTTCTAGCCACAGTACCAAGTCAGCCTTGTAGAAAAACATAAAAAAGTGGCAAGATAGCAGACTAAGTAATTGGCTAGTATTCCATGAATGTACTTACGCAGTAGTGGTCTGCATGTCATGCCAGCTTTTGCTGAAGTTCTGTTTTAATTCATTCATCAGGTTCATGCCGAGTTTTTGCTTTATCTCAACCAGATGCCTTTCTTTCGCTGATAATACTTGTCGTAATGTTGTAATTTCGTCTTCCAGCTACAAGTAGGAGGGAAGCAGTGGGGAAAGATGTCAGACCAAGCTGAAACGTACACCTGCCCCAGGTGTGTGTGTGTGTGTGTGTGTGTGTTTTCTGCCTTTGGATTCAAACTGTGATGTTAGCTCTTCCTGGGCCTCGAGCCTGCTAGCCTTCATACTGGAGGCACACCCTGTTCCCCTAGGTCTCCAGCTTGCTGACTAGAGATTTTGGGACCTGTTGGCATCCACAGTCACATCAGCTAATTCCCTATAATAAATCTCTTTCCGTATACAGAAACATATACATACATACATATATATATTTATATATATTTATATATATATATTTATATATAAAATTGGTTCTGTTTCTCTGGAGAACCCTGACTAATACAGAAGAATGTTGCAGTAAGACACTATTGGTTATGAACACTTTAGTTGGTCACTAGCTTAGTCCAGAAAGAATAAAGGTTTGGGAGGAAGGAACTGAGTCTGTACGTCTAAGAGACGGGAGCTTGAGGGCACTGTGTGTTCTTCCTGGGGGACCACACACCAAGGAAGAGGGGAAACCAAGAGTGGATGGAGGGAGCCTGAAAATAGGTTCTGCCTGCTGGATAATGCTGTCTGGTATTTTTTCTAGTCCTATTAATACCCATTTTTCTTGAGTCATTTTATCGAGGGGACATTGGCAGTTTCTAATTGTTATATAACACAAATTTCTAGCACTAATGCCATCATTTCATCCTTTTCAAAAGCCACGTCGCCTTATGGAATACTGAGCATAAAATGCAGCTTAGTGAAATGAAAGTGGGGGTGGATGTTCATAGCACAGACATATTGAGCAAGTTTAGTTAAAAAGGGAGACAGAGGGAAAGAAACACCAAATAGATGTGCAGAGACCTCAAAGATGTCAGGAGCAACTGGTAATAAGATGAATGAGATCAAATCTCTGACACAAACTATTTTAATATATTGATAAGCTTATTAAAATGCATAATCTACTGCCGGTATTTACAACTATAAATATTCATTGGCGCTATAAAATAAAGTTAAAAGTCTTACTGCACACCAGCTACACACAAAGCACACACCAGATCAGAGGTGATATTGGCCTCACACTAAGAAGCTTTTATTTATTTATTTTTAAATTCTTTTTTTCCCCTTTTTATTGAATGTATTGGAGTGACACTGGTTAACAGAATTATACAGATTCCAGGTGCACAATTCCACAACACACCTGTACACTGTATTGTGTGTTCACCACCCCAAGTCAAGTCTCCATCCATCACCATCTATTCCCCTATACCCTCCTCCACCTCCTCCCACTTTGAAAAACACACGTATCACATGGCTACAGTCATAAAATAAAGGCTAAACTGTGTTAACAACAGATTCCTCTGTTAGAATGCAGACTTGATCTAAGATGTAGCCTTTTGGACAGTACTGGCTTATTTTACGTCTCCCAGCACAAGGGCAGGTCTTCCTAGTGCCAGCACTAGGTAAGCACACAACGATAAGGCAGGATGCAATACCCCCTCATCTCTGAGAAACGCAGAAATGAGAGAGAGCAAGCACGGAGGCTAATGCATTCTGGGGGATGAAAACAGGCAACCTGGTAACTTGAACACAGTGACGGGAGTCTGGTGTTATTTTCAGAATTCAGGCTCAGAAAGTGTTAGGAGTGAGATGCACTGGAAGCTTATTAATGTGGCCGAATAAAACAGGGATTTCTGAAAACACTGTGGGTTATTTATATTCATGGGGTCTCCATTTAGAACCCAGGCTTACCTTTTCTTGATTATAAAAGTAACACATACTCACTGTTGAACATTTAGAAAATATAGAATGTGCAAAAAATGCATTGATAGAATCCCAGAACCCAGAAAAATCAAGTCATTTTCTAAAAGCTGGTCTATCACAGGGGTTGCATCTGAACTTAAACCTGGACTGTTATATGAAGGAGTTAAATTTTAGCATAGACTCAGTTGACTTACACTGGCCTACAGAACATAAACTTCGGACACCACCACTGACATGAACAGGTCGTGAGCAGAATTCCAGGCCGTAAGGAAACGTGGCGCTGCTGCACGCTCAGTGAAGGCTGACTTTGGTCCGCGCACTCTGGAATGTGTGGCCGGGTTGAAGTCAACTGAGTGGTTCTGGATCAGTGGCCACAGACAAACCCAGCCAAAGAAGCAGGCTCTTTGATTGGAGGTTCTGTGCTTACAAAAATAACTTCTGCTGTGCCAGAGGAATAAGCTGATTTTATGAAGTTATTTTAGGGTGTGTCTTGGGAAAGCACCTGAAAAATCTTCAATATGATTATGAACTGTCACGAACACACACGCTCAGGACCTCAGAGCTTGAGGAGTCTGCAGTGGACCAAGGGGGCTGAGGGTACGGTGGAGCTCGGAGCTCAGAGCTCTGTCCCCAGCCTGCAGAAGAGGCTAGAGCCAGGGGTGAAAGCCTTGCTTCCCGATGGACCAGGAGCTTCCTGCCCTCGGAGCCAGGGATTCAGAATGGAGAGGGGATGCTGGCTTCACCCCTCTCGCCCTGCTGCTTATTGTACTCGGGAAGTCCCCTGTGTCCAGCCCTTTCCTTCTATAATGTAACCAACCGCTCCTTAGCCAAGTGTTCAAGGGCTAGTAGGTGCTGCAAACAAAATACTTGAACAGAGAGTTGCATTCACAATGAGCCAGGCATCCTCCTCGCCTCTAAGTCCAAATGCCCCAACAACTACCTGAGGTCTAATGAAGCCTACATCCAGCACAGCTTTCCTCTCTATCCCCAGAGCTTTATTCTTCTGCAAAAGAGCACAACTCAGTAAATCCAGTTGCTCTATGACTGACTTTTTCGTGACAAAACTAAATTATTTCAAAGTGTTTGTTGAGCTACACTGTTGACCTAAAACAAGAACTGCTCTTCAAAAGCAGCTTGTACTTGCAGGGTCTTGAAGGAATTCCACCAGGTTTGTAAGTGGTTTATCATCCCCATGGTATTGCGATACTAAAAGAGTAGGAGCTGCTAATTATCATTGTTGCTTAAGCAGCATAGCCATTCAATTTTGTGCTGTAACCAACAAATAATGGACAATTAGCCTTACAAAATACCTCCCCCCCCCAAATAAATCATCTTGCAATACATCATTTATCAAATTTTACTGAATGTAATATAACAATTGTAATATGGGACTTATATAAAAGTAATAGTAACTCTCAAGATCCAGAGATAGACATCGGAATAATAAGATTCCTAAACATACCTGAACTAATTCTGCCTTTAGCTCTTCTCTCTCCTCGTCAGAGAGCATGCTAGAGAAGTCAGCACTGGCTACTGCGTCTTCATCTCTTCCTCGCAGGGGTTCAGTCTCCAACAGACCTTTAGGCAAGATTGATAAAACATAACGCAATGTTTAAAATGAATGAACAAATAAGACAAAACAAAAACAGATTCATAGAAACAGAGACCAAAAAGATGGTTGTCAGAGGGGAGGGGAGGGGAGTTGGTGAAAAATGTGAAGGAAAATACAGTAAATAATATTGTGATAAGTTTGCTGATGTAATCACATGGATGAAACTTGGGAACAAGATTCTGAGTGGAAAAAAAACAAGTTGCAGAAGCACAGAGAGTACGGCTCCACTTATATGAAGTTGCAAAACTAAATAAAGTATTGATTAATAATAGATTTATGAAGGAAAGCAAGGCAATGATAAAGCATTCAGGACCATGGTTTGCTCTGAGGCAGCGGGGGCGGAGAGGGGGAGGAAGAGGATGGGAGTGTGGGAACCTATAGGACATCGCTGTGGTGTTAATGGTAGTGGTCCATTTTGGGGACACTGCACATAAGTATTTTCTGTACTTTACAATGTATTTTGTAAATATTTTTTGTATACTTAGTATTATTATTCAATAAAACAATTAAAATATACATAGTTTGTTAAAAGTCAAAAGAAAAAGGTAAATAATTATCCTACAAAATCATTCTAGTTAAAGAGTAAAAATATGGCCCAATTTGCAAAGTTCTTCTGAAGCTGGCCTCACCCTCTCTCTCTTTTTTTAAATGACTACACTTATTTTTATTTATTTATTTATTTATTTATTTATTTATCTTCACCTGAGGATATTGTTCCATTGATATATTAGACAGAATGAAAAGGAGGGGGAGAGACAGAGAGAGAAAAACATCTATGCGAGAGAGACACTTCGATTGGTTGCCTCTCACAGGAGCCCCCACCATGGCCAGGGGATCCAGTCTGCAACCAAGGTAAGTGCCCTTGACTGGAATTGAACCTGGGACCCTTCAGTCCTCAGGCTGGTGCTCTATCCACTGAGCTAAACCGGCTATGGCTGGCTTCACTCTTAAGTCCACTGTACCCACATCTTTTTGTCTGAATCAATGGTGCACCATCAGCACTTTGTATTACTGCTGATACCCTAACACACATCAGTGAACACGGCATCTTGCTAACCCAAGTTCATCAGATCCTCGTCCCCTCTATGTACTCCAGAGGCCAGTTTCACTGCTAAGTAATGTTCTTTTTCATGAGAAATACCTGTTTATTGTAGAAGACAGAAAAATAAAATTATCCGTTTCTAATTAAAATCACTATTATTCACACCACTCCAAAATAATTATCCTTTTGGTCCATCCTTGCTGACATTTCTTCTGTGCATACATGCATATTTTCTTATGTATTTTATATGCATTTACTAGTACTGTTGTGAACTTGATTTATTTGTTCATTTGATAGGATATAATGAAAATCCTTTATGTCTAAAACCATGTATCAACATGCGTACATTCTCGTGTGTGAATGATAATTTATCCTGTTTATTGGGAAGCTGCAGGGAACGTCTCCTAGCCAAGTCATAAGGCAAATCCTTGATGATTTCATATACATGGTATTACTGAGTCAAAGAGCACGGGACGACCTTTTGAAACCCACTGCATTCATTCCCCAAAGAGGCTGTGCCAGTTTCATGTAAACATCAGCAACCTACGAGAATATCTCTAGATTCTGTACAAAAATGTAAATAAGTCATTTAAAGGGGAAACACACTGTCATTTATTTCTGCGAGTAAATATTTGTTTACATGTGGCCAATGTATTTTTAAAATATATTTTTATTGATTTCAGAGAGGAAGGGAGAGGGAAAGAGAGTTAGAAACATCAATGATGAGAGAGAATCATTGACTGGCCGCCTTCTGCATGCTCCTTACTGGGGATCGAGCCCACAACCCAGGCATGTGCCCTTGACCGAAATCAAACCTAGGACCCTTCAGTCCACAGGCCGATGATCTATCCACTAAGCCAAACCAGCTAGGGTGGCCAATGTAGTTTTAGACCGTTTTCTAGGATAAATGTCTAAATCAAGAATCAGCAGCAATTCCAAGCACAGGTTTAAGAGCTGGGTCTGGAAGGTAAGCTACCCCCCTGCACCTGGGGCTAGGAAGCAGTATGGTAGGACATTCTGGTCTTCTCCTCGACTCAGCCTGGCCCTGGGACTCAGGGATATTGCTCAAATTTAGCTGGAACACAAATTCTCAAAGTTTCCTTCTCTTGACAGTGTGAGAGGGCATGTGTCAGTAAAGGGAATAGACAATAGTTCCAGGTAGTTAGACTTTTCAAGACATCAAACATTTTTAGTATCTTCCTATATTCTAGGAAGAAAATTCAAAATCCAACTGAATTGCTAATACAGGAATTGGGAAAGTTCTAGAGAATTTAGGGAAGGGTAGACCCCCACATGCAGCAGGAAGCTTCTACTTTCCAGCGGGGAGATCCATAAACTTTATAGTGAGGTATTCTGCACTGGCCTTCAGCTCTGATCTGTCCTATGTCCCACTCCTCAAAGACGTCATGAATCTTTCAAAATCTCACTCCCAGAAACCAGCCATTCAGGAAATCTGCCTGGAGGCCAGGTTGCTAGTTACTTCACCTCTAATTAGATCAATTACCTTCTTCATTCTCATCTTTGAAATTAAATGACAGTTCCCCGTCTTCTTTTTTGACTTCTGTATCTATTTCCCTGCTACACCCTCTTCCAGTGGGTATTCTCTGAGTGACACAGTTCAGCACAGGGGGCCATGTGCATATAAACAGAATGAAATCAAGACCTACTGTTTTCATCAGAATATGCTCTGCTCACTGGGCTAGTGAAGCAGCAATCAAATCATGAGGTCAAAGGGTAATTCCAGAATCAAAGAGGAGTTGGTTAAAAAAGTGATTAACCAGTAAAACTAAATCAGAACCAGAAGGAAAAAAAAAAAGCAAATGATAAGAGATACCAAGTGGTAGACGATAATGTGAGAAGGGCAGTAAAATGCATTGAAATTAACCTAGTTCCTATGAAAGTAGATATTAGAAGAGATTAAAAACATATTTTTAATAAAAAATAATAGGGAAAACTGTTCAGAAAGCACAATTTTTAGTAGGTACAGTACATTATGAGGCAACTTCATGAATCTGATTTTCTTTTCCAAATGTCCTCTTCTATAGTTCAGCTCTGGTCAAGTTCAAGAGCCCCGCCCTCTCCTCCAACCCAGGGACCGTATTGACTTCCTGCTGCTGTGGTTCTGAGGAGCTTCACCATCCCCTCTTGGTTTCCCTTAACTCTTCCCATCTTCTAATAGTCCCTTCATTAAGCTCTCTTGAATCAGGCACCCCCTTTGAGAATGCCATCCATCTGTTTCTCTCCTGGGCCCTGACTGATACAGAAAGGCTGCCCCAATTTCCTTTTTGAGCTCTAGAAAAAAAATATCGTTCAGGCCAGCCCACACCAACCTGGAGCACAGCCAGTGCCTGCAAACCAGACAGGTGCTGGGTGGTTGCCAAAATCGGTCCTTGGTGTTTACTTCTCCAACTGACACTTCTACAGTCAGTTAACCATACACGGGCTCCAGAACTCCCCACAGTACTTAGGGAGAATCCTGCCACCTTGGCAAGAGGTTGGTGCCCCCGCAGCAGACGCTGGGGTTACGGGCCCTGGCGAGGTGGAGAAAATCTCCCACCAACGAGAGCCAAGTGAGGCTGAATCAGCTTGGAAGGGCTACTGGGCCCAAACTCAGCAGAGAAAGACAAGATCAAGAGGCATATCTGCAGAAGTGTCAGCATCAGAAGATATCAGGCCCCAGCTGCTGGAAGAGCAACGGAGAACACGAGGCACTACATGGGCCCTTCTTGCTTCCATGTACCTGACACCACCTTAGCCAGGGCAAGGGAAAGGGCGCTGACAAAGAAGAAATCTGAGCTAGGAAGTACTCTCACTGAGAAAATGGATATTATTTAAAGGGTTTTTTAAAATTATTGCATTGGAATGGACTACTAGACCTATTTTTCTTCCCCACTTCGCAAAGCCTAAGGGCCCATACCCAGATCAGGTATGGGTTTTTAAAAAATGGAGCCCATGTATGTACACCATGATGTAGTGTAAATAAGTGTTGCCATCCCGCCATACGAGTAGTTTGCACTTAAAGACAGACATTTTACTTTCATTTTCATGCAATAAAATATACAGACTTAACAAAGGTAACAGATATCCACAGGCCTGAATCCAGTGCAGGAACTGTGCCTCTCCCTCGGCTAGGTGACATTTTTGTCACCTAGAGCACTTGTCAGATGCTACCATGCTCCTGCTTTCACTATACCTACGATCGGCCAGTGGTGACTCATTTAAGTCTCCCATGCGGTGCTAAATGACACAACAAACTGAACCAGATCCACCTGAGAAGTCACTGCAGCTGGTCCCAGCCTTGCTGACGAGGACCCTCACGCATGGGACCTGGCTCAGGGTCTGGCTCAGTCACATGTTGTTGGGCTCTCACTTAGGCCAGTCTGACTCCAAAGCGTATCTCCTTCTCTGTCTTACAACCACTGAAGAATAGTAAACAAAAGATGTTGGAAAGTACAAATCAAAAGGTGAGTTTTGGATCAGAGTGCCTCCTTTAGCTTTGAAACAAAATCTCCCATTGGTACCAACACACTTCTGATGTACCCCGTCAAGTACTCCAATGGATTCAGTGGTTCTAAACCTTCTGGCCCTTTAAATACAGTTCCTCATGTTGTGACCCAACCATAAAATTATTTCCGTTGCTACTTCATAACTGTCATGTTGCTACTGTTATGAATCGCAATGTAAATATCTGATATGCAGGATGGTCTTAGGCGACCCCTGTGAAAGGGTCGTTCGACTGCCAAAGGGGTCGCGACCCACAGGTTGAGAACCGCTGGATTAGGTCATGGCTTCATGAGCTGTGTGTTAAAATGATTACACACTATGATTTCAGATGAGTAACCATATTTTGCATTGTTGAAAAATACATAAAAGTTACAGAATTTCTTTTTTGAAAAAAATATTTTTATTGATTTCAGAGAGGAA